TTAAATTTCTTGTTATTTAACTCTACATGTAACTACTATTAATTTTTTTATAGTATCCAATAAATAAATAAATAAATTATACATTATGGCTGCTTTCAAACAATTCTGTGTGTAGTCACTTAGTTTAAAGTCAATTTTAAATTAGTAAATTTAATAAGAATGTCAAATAGTGATATGTATTGTGTCTATGAATTTGCTGTGTGTAGTAAATGGCCAATATACATAACTTTGATTTTTTAATTAGAAATAGAAATATTTTATTCTCAGTAATACATATGTTTACATAGTCGTCAGTACACATAAATGGTAAAATACACCACATTTTACATACATTAACATACATTATACTCGTATAAAATTAAAAAAAAAAAAATAGGATTTTAAAAGATCATAGTTGGTAATAGTAATAAAAAATATATAAAAAATTACAATATTAAAAATATTAGGTGACATGTTTCACTCTTACAAAATAATCGTTAGTATTATATAGACACATGTCCAGTTATATCTTTTTAATTTGATGTTTAAACTTTTTTCCTGGTAGATTACCGATGTGGGGCGGAAGTGCATTATAGAATGAAAAGCCTATTGTTCGGGACTTGTTTATTCTAGTTTGATGTAATTGTATAATTATGTTTATAGAATAAAGTATATTTATTATTATTATTATTTATTATTATATACACTTTGTTGTCTGTTTTGTAAATAAGAAGCAATCATCTTATTTGCAATGCCTCTAATGCCATATTTATCTAGTTTTTTGATTAACAATGTGTGACTTATACAGTTAAATGCTTTAGACAGATCAGTGAATATAGCTACGCATTGTGATTTGTTTTCTAAAGACTCCTAAATGTTATTCATTAAAGCCAGCATGGCATCTGTAGTTGTTCTCCCATGTCTAAAACCATATTGTTCCGCAGAAAACAGGTTGTTGTTTTCAAAGAAATTACAAGTGTAAAAACTACAAAAACCATATAGGTACATATAGTTCCCATTTTTAAATAAATTCAAATTAATTCATAATAAAAATAACGATTTTAGTCTGTCATACTTGAACTCATTCACAATAACAGGTCATTGAGTATATATTTGTAAAAAAAAACTAAATATGTCTCCGTTATAAATTTTTATATTTAAAACTACATACTTTTCTATAGATTTTTCAGTACCTAAAAATAACATATAGAATAAACTTCTACAATGTACTAGAAAAGTTTTAGATTAGAGTAATTCTTAAGAAATAAAGCAAAATCGCTATTTTGTTACTCTAACCTTGTGTGTTATATATTTCCCTTGACAAACTAACGTTATATTTAGATCTAAAAGTAATTAAACTTTTCATCAAAGAGTAATATTTCACATATTATATAAAAAAAATTTAAAACGGTTCTGTCCTTCTTACATTTGCGAAGACTGCCCTGATATCTAATCTATTTTCTTCTTCAAAGTAATTAAGTTGTTCAACCGTTGTCTATAAAGGTATCTCACATCTCGCTCATACACACGAATTTGAAAAGCAGCAGAACAAAAATTCAACTAACCAGGTATACCAAGTTTGTGTAAAGAAAACTTTTCATATCGTGAAAACGTCAAGTGTCAACTAAAATTTCTACTTTTAAAGATCAAACATGCCGCCTCAGAGTGCCAATACTGATTGTTAGATACACTGGGGTTTTATTGCGTTACTTTTGATTTTAGCAGCCTCTGAAAAACTGTTACGTATTGTAAAGGGTGACAATTCATTTGAAAGCTAATTTTTTAGTAATTTTTATTTTGGTTGATTGCGGTTAAAGTAAACCTATAATACTATTCACAGACTACTGTGTGAAGAGTAGAATAATAATATAATCAAGGCTAAAACAATAACATAATAGCCTAAAAAATATGTACACGAAAAGAATGATAAAGTCAAAGAGTCAAAAATTATTTAATAGGTATATCAGTACTTCGAAGATATACTTTGCTGTCATTCTAGTCAGCTTTATAGTAGAGCAGACTGAATGTTGGTTGAACACTTTTCATGTTTCATATTTACATATAATAATTATACTTCGACAAGAAATTCAGTTGGCCCCAATTATTGTCACAATATGTATTGTTTACTAATAATCTATCTATTAAAACTTTTTTTAAAATACATGAATTGTTGATTTGTGTAACATATTTCTATGTTCTGATAACAAATTTTTTGACATACCTAGTGTCTTTTACCTTCAACATGCCTCTATAAATAGTACGACTAAAGTGAGATTTAAATAGTGTTGTTTAACGTTTAACTTGTAAGTTTATTAAACAGTGAACATAGCATTATTTTTTTTAAATCAACTTATATTGTGACATCACTATATATGGTATAGAATACCCCTGAAAAGGTCTCGATGAGCCGATTTTAAAAATATAACCTTTACAACACTGCACTACGTCTACATAGTTTACCTCCCAGGTAGATATCGGTAAATATTTAATTTAACCTTCATGATATAGGTACGTACCTAACATAGACACAACTATTAAGTTTCTTGAATTAATTTAGGCCTGTGAAATATTTATATTTTATATCTTCTTTAAGAAAACTGTATTGTAAGTCTGACAGTGTTTATCAGTACCTCTGGCAGTCTGGCATTTATAGATAGGGCATTTTTCTATTACTTCAAGGGACAACCTACAAAATAAACAATTATTTATATAAAATTTTATTACAGTCAAGAAATTATCCTTGTTTAAGGGTCGATCTTTTCACCTCTGAGTAAAGTTATATGTAAGTTTACTTAACATATTAACAAACAATAGCCCTATAGTTTAATCAGCAAGTGGTAACTTTCAACTTGGTGAAAAAAATGGCCCTAAATAAAATATAGGTATAATAAAATTGGGCTATCCTCGATATTAGGGACAGTAATTTTGTCACTTTTTCCATAAAGATTAAGTAAAACCATAATATTATTACACTTTTTAATCTTCTATAAGTGTGCACTAACCTAATTAAAGCAACAAATATTATTAAAACACATTTGTAAGTTAAAAAATTAAGAATATGCATTTATTCACGACATTCTCACGTAGCCATATTGTTTTTAATTTTTTCGATTTGACAGTCACACTAAGAGCGCCTGTGCGTGATTTTAGCGATGTTGCCAATTGCTTTTTGTTATTTGTTCTAAATAAATATATTCATGGTAATACCGTTCTATATTATTTTTTGTTTATGAATAATATGACAACTAACGTGGTGTTAAACATAGTAAAAGAACGTATATAACAGGAATGACAGTGGCTGTTTTTTCAATAGCTCCGGGCCAGATGATAAAACCAGAATATAAATGTGTTTATTTGAGACTTTTCATTTCAATTATTCAATTTAAGCTGTGTCCAGGCCGTTGGAGTCTATGCCGGTCGACGTAGCCAGGTATGGGTTGATGTTTTTTGGTGGTGGCGAAGCTGCCACCCTCCGATAAGTCTTTGCTTCGTTTTCTTGTTGCATATTTATGGACTGGTATGCGCAATCGCAAGAAATTATGTGAAAAAGTTTACGTTTTCAATTCTATTTGAGCTATATCCAGGCCGTTGGAGTCTATGCCGGTCGGCGTAGCCAGGTACGGGTTAATGTTTTTTGGTGGCGGCGAAGTCGCCACTCTACGATAAGTCGTTGCTTCGTTTTCTTGTTGCATATATATGGACCGGTATGCGCAATCACAATTTTCCATTAACTACTAATTTTATCACAATCCGGCAACGATGCAATTATATTTTCCAAATTTGATAGAAACCATCGAGTTTCGATGTTAACAGTCGTCAAAATGCTGATTTTTATAGAAATTAAATAATTTTTTTGGCTTAAATAATGCATTTACCGCATTTTTTTTTAAATGTACTATTTAAAATACGTTCTTTCTGATAAAAAATAAATTTCTTTAAAATTCCACTGTCCCTAAAGTCGTCGAGACCCATAAAATTGTCATATTTTTTAAAACTTCCTTTGTCTTTTGTTGGAAACAAAAAAAATTGTTCAATGCATAATTGGGCATATTCTGTATATATTCTTGATATATTCTTAATAAACTATAATTTGAAGTACACATAACCTCAAAAATAATAGTAATTTCTTTACCTCTGACGTTTTTCGGTGACAATCGTTGAATTAATACACATACTTCCGATTTATTAAAGTTGCAGTTTTATTTAAACTTAATTTTTAATACAATTTACAATTAAAATTGTCTCATGTTGTTTTTTTAGAATTTTTCAGCTTGATTTTGAACGTTGAGAAGATAGAATATGAAGTAAGTAGATAACGAAATAAAGACTGTTTTGTGATATGACAAGTGGAGGCACTTTGCCTCATATTTTGATTAATTTTAAGTTAATAATTTTATATTTGTAGATTGACGAAATGAAAATGTTTTTGTATCATTTAAATCACGCTATTTTAATAAAGGGCATTAATTATCACCAAAACTGACTAGCTCGAGTTTGACATATGTCGTAAAAGAGTAATACAAAAGTGAGACGTTTAGTACCGTCATTGCTTCTCTATATATCTTTGATTTGAAAGATTGGTATGGCTCCGCTTACTTTGTGACGTTACGATGTGCGTTGCGCAAATTAGGCTGATTTACGTTATTTTATCATTGTTTCACTACACTTCAGGGATCTATTATCATATGACATCTCTTTTTAGCTAAAGATTTTCAAGAACGCCTCTCACTCCAACGGGCTCACTTATAAAAGCTCGCCACGAGCGCAGTGGCATACCCAAGATATTAACAAAAAAATTATTTAAATTATATTAATATTTTTGTTGTTATTTTAAAATAATGCGTTTTTATGAAATGTAACTGGGTGTTCACTGCACAAATGTGGAGAAACCGCCCCTGAGGGAGAGGGTTAATATATGACATTTTAACACAAGCAAAGTAGCACCGGATTTTTTGATCTTTCTAGCACTGTATAAATAGTTTTTCTTAAAAAAAATGTATTACTTTGTTTTTTACAGAAAAATGGCTGCTGCTTACAAACTGACTTATTTCAACAGTACTGCCCTCGGCGAGGCCATAAGATTTATCCTAAGTTATGGAAAAATCGAATTTGAGGACAATCGCCTTGCCTATGATGATAATTGGCCTTCTGTTAAACCTAGTAAGTAATCACACAAGACTGCTCGTTCATAAGTATAAATATACTGCAGATGTGTCCTGTGGAGCAAGCGAACAAAATGGCTTCACCCGGGCATATACCATCAAGATGGTAGAAGCCCACCAAATGGCCACATCAGGGTTAGCATAGAATTTTTCCATGTTATAAAACTCAGTATCATTTGAAAAACCCACTAATATTGGAGTTTTTTTTTTATTTTTTAAAAATAGCAAATTTTCCGTTGAATGAACGTCATCATATATTTATTTCTGAATAAAAACAAAAACTAGCATAAATAACATAAAGTAAGTAGTAGGTGAATACAAAACGAGAGTTTGCAGCTCTATCGGCACATGTCCTTTTTTACAGAACATGTCTTTTAAAAGGTCCTGGTTTTTATAAAAATATTAGCTGAGTACCTTTTGCTGAGCACCCTTTCTTTAGAAGCTCGCCAAATAAATTTTAACCGGATTCCTGTCGTCATTGTTGTCCCGTTTTTCCCTTTCGTAAATTTGGCAATCCTAGCTTTATTCACTTTTTAACCCTACCTAGAGGTTGCCTATTCTTAAATACCTCTCAGCGACAACCAGAAGGTTTTTGATGAATTGATAACCCGGAGGACTTTGATGAGCAGGGAAGATGGCTGTCTCTAGACAACTCTTAACGACAACCAGCAGGTTTTTGACGAGTTGAGAAGTAGGTCATGTATACCCCTGGAGGACGCACAAAGGGCTTCATGAGGCCTAAATGTTGTGAAGAAAACCCACCTTCCACCAACTTACAGATGCAGATATACTGCATATGGATAAATTATTGGTATTACGTATTATCCTCAAATCGCATATTATTACATTACTACCTACCAAAAAATCAATTCAAAATTTTACGTTAGTGGTGTGTATAACGGTAGGTACCACTTTTAGATCTTAGTATTAACAGAACATCTCATCATTTTTGGCTTCCGAGATCTATTTACATTTTGTTTTTCTCATTGTTTCTATTTAAGAAAAAAATATTTTGGAAGCTGTACTTCAAAGTCTGGAAAGTCTTTCAGATGTGAGTTCTTTTACGGTAGGGTTGCTATTCGTCCCAGTACACCGAGACATATCACCGGTTTGGAACTTCTGTTCCGGTTGATCTATTAAATGTCCCGGTGAACAAAAATATTAGGAAATATTGAAATATATAAAAGAATCTACAGTTTTTTGTAATTTTAGGTCGAAATTAGTCTCAACATACTGAATAATAGAGATTAATATTTGTGGTGTTGATTTTAATCGTTTTTCTTACTACAGAATTGAATATGGTTATGGTCTATATCAGTGTTTTTCAATCTTCTGTTTCAACTCTAAGGAAAACAATAAATTAAGAAGGCTAATGACTATTTACAAAGAATATTATTGTTCAAATACCATTTGAACACTCACGACATAAAACACCTCTACACATAAAAAACAGCGCCCATCTCTAACAAATAATCATTGAAGGCAAAACGGATAGGCTATTCGCAATGCATGTCAATTTTTACAAAAACAAAGAATATACTATTCACAATACACAACAAAGTAAAATGGGTTGCATATCAACCAGACCAATAAAATTCAAATAAATTGTCAGTTATTAAATGGAGAGGGAAACATGCAACAGATATTTTTAGCGGTAAAAAGAGCGGGCAGATAGCCATTAGTAATCACGCTGGTAACATCTCAAATTTGAAAGTATTTTTTAAATTGTAACAAATATGTAAATTTACATTTATATATGTTAACAAGTTATTAATGGTGTAATATACAAGTTGTGCTTATGTTTGAAAGTGTTTTGCTTCAGTCAAGCTGCAACCCAGGTAACCTATCCACGAAGAAGCATTATTCATAAGGTTAGCTCAAAATTTCAATAGCTAGGCCGCCAAACTAGAGAGATAAGGTAAAGTACAAAACCCCCTCATTGCCCCGACAACAATATATCGATATTTGTAATGTTTACTTTGTATTTAGATGTTTATTTTATATTTCGATAAATTTAGTTCTTTAGTAAGTCAATATTATTAGCTAGCTACAAAGTCGCATATCGAATTGCTAAAGCAGGGAAACCACATACAATTACCGAAAATCTATGTTGCCAGCAGCATGGTTAAAATTATGGTCAGTAAGCAGTAGATAAACAAATTAAAAAACATACCACTTTCTGACAATACTATTTCACGCAGAATAAACGATATGGCCAAGGATAATCAAGGACAAGTAGTCGAAAAATTAAAGAACAGCCAATATTTTGTTTTGCAGTTTTGACATATCTACAGATGTTTCCGACTGTGTACAGTTTGTAGTATTTGTGCGCTTTGAAGCAGATGACAGTATCACGGAAGAAATCTAAAGCTATGACTGGCAAACATAGCGGACTCATTGTAAAATTAAAATCGATAATGCCAAACATATCCTGGACACACTGTTTTCTTCATCGACAGGCTCTAGCTGCTAAGGTAGTACCTTCTGATTTAACTCACTTGCTCAAGGAGGTAATACAAATTGTGATTTCTATCAAGGGAAAGCTTTGCAAACCCGGCTATTCAGAATCGTTTGTGAAGATATGGACTCGCTTCATCAAAATCTCCTTTATCACACAGATGTCAGGTGGCTATCCAAAGGAAAGGTATTGACAAGAGTGGGGCCCTATCCTCGGCTATCGCTATTCTCGACATTCGTTTTAAAAGCGTGTACGCTTTTAAAACGGGTGTTTTACAGCGAGAGGAATTTTTCACACGTTTTTGATAAAACGTGCATGTTTTCAAGGATTTAGTCAATGTCACTTATATGTCACTTTTAGGAGAATTAATAATATTGATTGATTTTAACAAATTCTAGGTAAACTACTTTTTATTAATACCTACAAAAGTATCTAATTTATTATAGTATGGTTTGCAGTACTAAATAAGTCCATTAGCTGACAATTTCTTTCAATTATATTATCAATAATTGTACAATTAGAAAACTTAGAAGATAAGAATCCTTAAAGATTCAGACTTGCAGAGGCAGAATCCAGTTTTTGATTTTAACTGATATTGAATGAATATTTTTTATATCTTACCGTGTAAGAATTTAATTATTAATTCATGTATGTTTTATTTACAAATGTTAATTTGCTTTCGATTCAAAGCTCTTATCACACGTTGTGTCCAGAAATTTTTACAATTTTGTAAAATTGCCACAAAATATTAAAGAACTGAATAAGATAAGCAAAGTTATTAGTTAAATGAATTTTTTACCCTAAAAACTAGGTTTTTATGACGTACGATTTTCCTAGAATTATAGGTTGCATTAACTGCACCCGTATAGCTATTTTTACGCCAACAATTAACGATTCAGATTGTCCTGAACATCGATATATATTATGTGATTAGAAAAAATCATCGTTCGACAAATTTACAATTGGTTTGTTGTAATTAAATTACATAATCCTTATTATTTTATGGCCTGCACATTACTTGAATTCAAGGATAAAGACAGTTTACAGTGATGCCAAACATATTATTTGCTTGTTAAAAACGTACACGTCTTAAAAAACGAATACTCATCGAACGTCAGTCAAGAATATAGATTTCAAAAACAACTCGCTTTTCAACCACTCACTTTCGAAAACGGTTCGTTTTTTTAGCGATTGTCGAGGATAGCCGCCCTGGAACTGACCCTATTTGGCTCTTGAAATTAGCATTTTTGGCAGATCTTTTCAGCCACCTTAACAATTTGAACAAGAACCTTCAAAGAAGAGAAGAAAATATATTAAGGACAGCGTCTCCTAGTAATTTCTGAACAAAATTATGTCACTTTAGATTCAATCAAGGAGGTGCTGTTACCTACCGACTAGAGATTGAATTAGTGCAAATTATTACAGAAATCTTTAAGTAACTATAAATATCGACCGACTAGCTATTAGGGGATATTGTATTATAAACCGGTTTTTAGTAGACTGAGTTCGAAGAATCATAATAATAGTCCTGAACATAAAATCTATTTTTCAATAATTGCCGGGATTTCACCAAATAAAAAAAATTATTTCGCGATTGTGAAAACGGTCCAATCGTTTTATATGCCATTTATAATATTATAAAAATGTTAACTCTAGGACTCATTTTGGAGTATGAGCATACTTTATTTCAATACTTTTATTGTACTGTTTCATAAAATATTACCTACTTATTACATTTTATTTTTATCGAAAATTGACTTTGTTTCCTGGACCAAAGTAAAGAATGTAGATGGTAACAACCAAAACGATATCTTGCCTTACATTAAATATAAATATTTCCTAAAATAAATAATTTGGTTTATATACGGGTAGTAATACGAGGGATGTTTATAATTTCAAGTCACGAATATAGAGTCGTTTCAAAATATATTGCGACAATAATTGCGTCACATTGAGTCGGAGTGGGACGCTTATTGACGTGTTGCAATTCGCAATATATTTTAAAACTATTCTACCTAATTAATAAATTGTGATTTTGAAGTATCGAATGAAAACTATATTCTCATTGGTTAAAGATGGAAGTTTTTGTCATTTGAATGTTCAAGAATATTAATTGTGATTAATTGGTTAAACACCGAAGTTATCTGTTATCTGATGTTGGTACTAACCTAATGTTTTTGGGTAATTTTGACTGTCATTTCCTGGAATTTCCAGACCCGCATAAATATTTATCCTATTAAAGTACAAAAACCCTACAATAGATATTATGAGTAGGTATTTAACATTCATATATCTTATCTTATCTTAGGTAGTTATTTCCCTGATTGTCAATAACACATTACCGTATATCTGTGCCAATATGACGTCACGACTTTTAATATACTTAATGAAGGCTGGGGGAAGGAGTTAAGAGTCTATAAATTTACAAACAAGCTTACGGGTATTTAGTTTTCAAAATTACATTACACGTTTCTGAAGTGTTTTATTGTGCTGTTTGTTTTTAATAAGTGTTATTTTCTTTAATAGAAAATTTATTTATT